TCGAAACCCGATTTCTAGCGTTGTAAGTCCGCAGACATACCGCTGTGCCACTAGGGGGCTTCAGGGTATCACCCCCAAGGTCATCCAATCTTGTTACCATAAGCCAAAGAAAGGAAACTTCAAAAATAATTGTTTGACTGGAAAGTTTAGGGCCAGCAAATGAGTAAAAAAGAATACTTTGTTTTGTTGGTCAACATTTTCATGACACTTTGTTTCGCCCTTTAACTGTCTATTAACATTAGAGATGCGAGAAAGTGCCATTAGCTAGTGAACTTGGTCTGTTAACGTCGATAGCCTACCAATGAACGTCAGGTTAAGCTAACTTAGCAAATTGTGGTCCAATAATTGTTTGTTTATTGTTAAGCAAAAAGATACACAGATTTGTAGTTATAAGCCATCAGACTTACCGCTAAGCAACTGAGAGCTGGTACATGAAATTAAACGCTTTCGTTATTATTAAGTGGATTACATTTGACGTTCTTATTTTTACCGAAAAATCGTCCCACTGAACAATAAAGATCGTTACAACAGTTTGAAATAATCTATCAATATTCTGGATTAAAAGCAATAGTAAAATAATGCTTTTTTACAAAATATAATATTTCCACGGCATCTGAACAGTATTACAATGAAAACGTTTGTTTGTTTGTTTTCTCCTCAAAATGGCCCGGCATGGTTAGGGCGCTCGACTCGCAATCTGAGGGTCGCGGGTTCGACTTCCCGTCCCACCAAATATGCTCGCCCTTTCTGCCGTGGGGAAGTTATATTGTCCATCCCACTATTCGTTGGTAAAATAGTAGCCCAAGAGTTGGCGGTGGGTGGTGATGACTAGCTGCCTTCCCTCAAGTCTTACACTGCTAAATTAGGGACGGCTAACGCAGATAGCCCTCGTGTAGCTTTGCGCGAAAGTAAAAACAAACAAACTCCTCAGAACAAGAACATTTCGGTGTAAAATTTCGGTAACTGAAGTAAACTAATTATTAAGCAAAATATTCTGGAATTTTATCCATTTATGATGCTTAACATAAGTATTATAATTACTTAATATTCGTATTTTAATTATATTATATTATATTATAATTATATTTATATTTGGTCGTCTACTCTTCTTTCTCTTTGAAGAAATCATATTAGCTTAATCTACATCAGCACAATAACATGGCTGATATTCGGTATTATAATATTATAATGTTTTGTGCTTAAAATCGTTAAAAACACTATATTGGACTATCTAGTTTCCTTTGTCTTTAAAGCAGTCACCTTAACGGAACTTAGAGCATTATCAACACAATAACGTAGCCGATATTCAGTATTATAATATTGTTTATAACTTATATATTTCAAACTCAGTAGTATATGCTCATCGATAAGTCTCAGGCTTAAAATCGTGTTTCAATACCAGTGATATAGATTTACAAACCAAATGCAGTTGTATGTGAAAAAAAAATACAGCATTAGTCACAGTCTATGATATTTGACACTAAAAAAACAAATATTTTAGTCGTTTCTTGTTCTAATTTAATCCTTAATAGGTTTGTTGTTTGGAATAAGATAAAGTGTTAAGATGCAAAATACTTAAAGTTCGTAGTTACGAAGTAGCTTGCAATGGTTTTGTCTTTGATTTTGTTGTTGTTGTGTTATTTTATGGAAACAATCGTATTATTTAACATGCTCTTAGTTATAAAAATTCAACGCTTCAACTCAAAAATTATTTTGCTTCCGTATATTAAACTTCAATCTAATAAAACTTCAATGTATGAAATCTTCTACAAGAGTTGATTGATATATATCGGATGTTTCGAAAGTCACTTCCGCTGTTCAAACGACGGCGTTCCGGAAATCAATAGACAAGATAATAATGGCTGGAGACGGCTTAAATGGGTAGTGAAGAAAAACTTTAATATAAGTTTAACATGACAGCAAATGTACAACGTTTCGACAAGGTTTTGATGATAACAAAACCTTGTCACCTGATGATGACAAAACCTTGT